CCTTCTATCTTGCGCACCTCTGCTTATCCTGCGCACCACGACGACGACGAGCATCTCCTCCTCCGGCGACGATGGGGAAAGGTCGTGCACTAAGCGACGGAGTGATTAAGAAGATCATCCTCTCTTACACCTATGTCGCAATCTGGATCTTCCTAAGCTTCACCGTAATCGTGTACAACAAATACATCCTCGACAAGAAGTTGTACAATTGGCCTTACCCAATCACTCTCACCATGATTCACATGGCTTTTTGCTCTTCCTTAGCCATAATCCTCATCAAAGTCTTCAAAATCGTCGAGCCTGTTTCAATGTCTCGCGAGACTTATCTCAGATCCGTCGTTCCAATCGGCGCCTTGTACTCACTCTCCCTCTGGCTATCGAACTCTGCTTACATCTACCTCTCCGTCTCCTTCATTCAGATGCTTAAAGCCCTAATGCCAGTCGCTGTTTACTCAATCGGAGTTTTGTTGAAGAAGGAGACTTTCAAATCTCAGACTATGACCAATATGCTCTCAATCTCCTTCGGTGTCGCTATTGCTGCTTATGGTGAAGCTAAGTTTGATGTCTGGGGTGTTGTTCTTCAGCTTGGTGCTGTTGCTTTCGAGGCTACAAGGTTGGTTCTTATTCAGATCTTGCTTACTTCCAAAGGAATCAATCTTAATCCAATCACTTCTCTCTATTACGTTGCTCCTTGCTGTTTCGTTTTCCTCTCTGTGCCTTGGATCTTCGTTGAGTTTCCGATCCTTAGGGATACTTCGAGTTTCCACTTTGATTTCTTGATATTTGGAACCAATTCGGTTTGTGCGTTTGCTCTGAATCTTGCTGTGTTCCTTCTCGTTGGAAAAACCTCTGCTTTGACCATGAATGTTGCTGGTGTCGTCAAGGACTGGCTCTTGATCGCGTTCTCTTGGTCTGTGATCAAGGACACGGTCACGCCGTTGAATCTATTCGGCTACGGGCTTGCGTTTTTGGGTGTTGGGTATTACAATCACTGCAAGTTGCAGGCAATGAAGGCCAAAGACGCACAGAAGAAGGTTCAAGAAAGTGACGAGGAAGCTGGTAAGCTTTTGGAAGAAAGGGAAAGTGAAGTTGCTGGAAAACGAAACGAAACACAAGATTGATTCAAGAATGCGATTTCAAAGAGTTAAAAGGATGATATTGGAAGAGTTTATTTTTGGTTCTTGGAAGGGATTTACTGGTGGATTTTGCTTATGATTATCATCGTCGTTGTTCGTCTCTACGTTTAGTTCTCTCTTTTTATATTTTACATAGTGATTGATGGTACAAAAGGGTTTTTTTTTAGAGGTTCCATGAATCTTTTGGAAACTCCAGTTTGTATCTTCTTCGTTTGAGTTGTCTCTGTTTCTTTACTTCCCTCCTTATGAATCTTATCAATGTGGGTAACAGTTGTTGTGCTAGTAAAACTTTATACTACTATTTTGCTCATTTGTTTAATTGCCATGTCTCTCCGATGAATCGTTTCTATGTTGGATGCCAGAAGTACAAATGAGTTTTTTTTATAGTATTTTATTGGTTATGTGAATATGATTTGGAAACAAGTTCCGCAATCTGGGGCAATAAATCCTCCTACCGACGTTAATAAAACATATGAACACAATGGTCTCATTTTCCAGAGTCCAGAGAGACAAGGAATCGATTAGGACGGATATTTGGGAAGCCTCGACAAAGGCTTGGCATAAAGCAGTAGGGTTCAGAGTAGAATTCCTAAGCATGCATTGGTTTATTGTTTCGTGATTCTGCATAGCTCTGCCCACTCTAGACAATTGTTTTTTTTGTGTTGTCAAACTGGTGAAATTGCATCATTTAATGGTAGCAGGCTCGACGCGTCAGCTCCAGTTTTCTTCGAATTTCTAACTAAATAAAAACAATCAAAGTATTGTCCATTTAGAAACCGAAGCGCTTTGTTTTTCCATATGCTCCTAGCAGTGAAACCCTTATTGTCGTCTCTTCTTCTCCCTTTTTGTTTGATCAAGAAACTGACGAGAAACGGTTTACAGAAAGAGGATGCGTATTTGGAGCACACGGTTAATTGTAAAGACGTGTTGTATGCGTTGAATTAAGATGATGACAGTATTGAGTAAAAAATTATACCTGCGTGTAGATGTTGCGGCTGCGTAGCCCATGATACCTTATAGTTCTTCTACTAACTAAATAATTATCTTTTAAATTCAAACTTTGATAATTTTTGTTATATAACCGTGGGTCATATCGTTAATTCGCTTTTCTTCAAATCCGATCTCATGCGAAATATCTTTATTCT